AAACGTGAATAACTTTTTAACTATTGAAGTTACAAAAATAATTTTTAGATATTTATATACCATTTAAAAAGCTTATTTTACTTTCTTAATTTCATCAAATTATATTGACAATTGGTAAAACCTTGACATGGCCTTTATCTCAATATTTTTGTATTATAATATTACTATATTATTTGCTTAATAGCGATATATTTAAATGAGCAATAGTGTTAAAAACCAATACAGATCGTGATTTATAAATAATATTTACTAATCTCAATAGTTAAATATTCTAGAAAATTTAAAAGTTAATAATAGTTATTTATTGTATTCATATTATACGTATAAATTAAAATATTCTTATAAATACTGTAATAAAAGCAAAATACAACTGTTTAAAATATTTACTAGTAATCATTGTTTTTTAAACAATAACTAGGGCTGCCACCCGTCATCCAATTGGAGGATTGTCCTCCAATCGGCCCTCAAAAAACAGTCCTCCTGAGGGTCTCAGGAGGACAATGTAATGTCCTCCCAGAGATAATTGACTAAATAACTTAAATATTAATTTGATTCTTAGTTAAATTTGTAAATATATTTAATATTACTTTTGATGTGAATGTAAAATATTTATATAAACTGTGAAATCATTGTTTGGAGGACAATAACAAGTGTTTTAAACATTAAAACAATAGTTTCTTATACTATTATGAGTACAGGAGACAAAATTATAAATAAATATTTTGTTGTTCTCCCAATGTCCTCCTGATCTGTCTTAATTTTGCCAATTTGTCCTCCCGAGCTTTGAAAAAAGGTGGCAGCCCTAACAATAACATAATAATATGTTATTTATTATAATATTATATTATTAATACTAGATTAATATTAGAATTTATATTATAATATAAGAAAATAAATATTTTATCATTTTATTATCAGTAACACTTGACATTTTCATATGTGAAAATTTAATTTATTTTTAATATATTAATGAATTATGAGAATAACAAGATATTTGATTAGAATAAATTGAAAATGAAAAATTTACAATTTTTAACAAGGTTGCACGACTAATCTGTAATTCAAGTTTAGTTTGTGTTTAATTAGAAAAAATTATAACAATATTTTAATTAAATTATATTACATGTTACAATTAATTATTACAATTAATGTATATTATAATATTATATGGTTCTACCCCAAAAGGCCTACTTTGACAAATAATCTAAATATCTTTAGATTCACTACATTATGATTGACCAAAGTTTAAATATAACCTAGCACAATAGTATTACATAAATTAAGCTAATATATTTGACGTTATTTATGCAATAAAAGTATTTATTGTTTAATTGTTGGTGAAATTTTGATAATTGTAAATAAACGTAGCTTGGTAAGTAAATAAGTTACGTAAAATTAATCTAACGTAATTTATGACTAAATAAATAAGCTCTAAACTTAATTAAACTTATTTGACCAGTTTATCACTTTTAATTAATGAGTAATCTCGAATTTTGTAAAAGTAGGCCTTTTGGGCGAGTCCGTATTAAATAATATTTTTTTTAATAATATAAAAAGTAGTAAAGATTAAACATCAATTCCATATGTATACTAAAAATTAACCCGGATTCGATTAGAATTATGGGAAATTCTGCATATGGCAAAGAAATTATTACTTATTATTAATAATTATCAAAATTTTATCCTAAAGGTATAAATATAAAGTTTCATTGTTTAGTCATACACTTTATATTTAACCTAGTTTTATAAAACTAATAAAAATGTTAAAATCATTAGTGTTGCTATTTACGATTTTTGGTGGTATTAAAAGTTTTACTTTTAACAAAATTTTTTAATATTCCCTTAAATTATAAAAATATTTATATCTTTCTAATTTTAATAAAACTAGCATTTACCTGTAAAATTATTAACATCCATAAATGTTAAATATGTTAATTGCTAATTAATACTAACTAAAACTTACAACTATTTATTTAGCAAGAACAACTTATGGCGACACAGTTTGTGAGGCCGGTTGGGAGGCTTATAAAGATGAGAAATGCTTTAAAATCTTCGTGGATAATTTAAGCGATTACCAAGGTGCGTTGGCCTATTGTAAAAACCTCGGCGAAAGTACGACCCTGACCATCATACACACAAAAGAGGAGTAAGATTACATTTCGGACTTGTTGTTCACCAAGCACAAATTGGTGGACACCGTATGGATTGGCGCCAAAGTGGACAAAAAGGTCGTCACGTGGGCCGACGACTCCAAAGCCGACTACGAGAATTGGCTGCCCGGCCGACCCACTGACGAGCCTAACGAGTGCGTGCAGTTGGAGGCCGAGCAGCCTAATCAGGGTAAATGGATGGACGTGCCCTGTACGAAAAAGAACTTGGTAGTTTGCCAAAAAAAGCAACTATGGTCGCTCGATCTATTACAAAGTGTCGTATTACAAATGCGAAAAGAGCTTGATAATATTGTTCCAATTGGATTCGTCTACGTACAGTTGCCAGGGCAGCCTGATCCCCAAACCCTATGGCCTAAATTTGCATGGGATAATGTAACCGGCCAGTATGCTGGCTCATTTTTCCGGGCCGAGGGTGGGCAGAGTAACGCGTTCGGCAGCGGTGCCCAAGCGGACAACTCGCCCAGGCTGATCGAAGTCGAATTTAACCATATGCACCTGTTTCTGAACATATTAAAATAGAGCCCGGTGTTTGGAGTGAGCATGTAAAATCGGCTAACGCGGGTATTGACGCGGGTACTGACCAGCTGAGATTTCTAGTGTCCAGTGGCGAAGTGCGTCCCGTGAATCATGCCATTCGCGTATATAAACGAGTAAAATAAGTTTAGATAAACAATATCAAAATCAATAAAGCAATGAAAATTATGTGGTTTGACTTTTTCGCTACGACGCGCCCCGATAAAAGAGAGCTAATTATATATTAAATTATTATTAAATATTAAATTATTATAAATTTTTTACAAAGTATTTAATGGCTCTCTCTCCCATTCAGGTCCACAAAATTGGGAGAGGAAACTATTAAAATGTGATTACAATTATAATTAGTAAATTAGTAACTGATTTTACTTAAAACTACATTGAATACTTTGTGAAAAATTAATAATAATTTAATATATAATTAGCTCTCTCTCTCTCTCTCTCTCTCTCTCATTGGGGCGAAAAAATCAATCCCAAAATTATGTAATAACAAATTATTAATAATTAATAAAAACCTATATTTATTTTATTATTATTTTATATGCCTCAATAATTTAATGATTATTAATACAATATATATATGAGCATTTTTAATTTAATGAAAATATTTAAAAATTATTTTATTTCTATTAATTAATTAATTTTTTTATTATAATGTTTTACGTGTGTGTTTATAAATAAATAAAATCTTTATATAATAAAATTGAGGTAACTACTTATTTATTATTAAAGTTTCTGCATTAAAATATTTTTAAAATAGGTTAATTAAAATTTTCACTAATTTGTTTATATTTTTAAATATAATTGCCTACATTGATTGTTTACTGCTGCTATCGCAACAAACCTCTAGGATTGCCAGAAAATTGCGGAATTCTCCCTGAATATAAAGATTAACATAGAATCACACATAATTGAATTCATTTAACTATTAATATTATTTAAATAGCTTTGACTTGCATTTATTTTTATTTTAATTAATTTATTCATTTATAAATTTCATTTTAATTGGAAATATTTAATTGAGACGGTCATAATGCAATATTGAATTTTCAATTGGGAATCTTGATTGAATATAAAGTCCATTCAATTCTGAGTACATGTTTGTCATTTATATTGTCCTGTGATCTCGGGGTCGGTCGCAGTAATCAGATTAAATGTAGACATTTTTTTATATAAGATTATTTTATTAAAATATCAACATTTGATATAACAATTTTATAGAGAATTTTTAAAACAGAATACGTTTGTATTAATGAAATTTATAAATAACGCCATTTTCACCCAAAACTAGATAGATAATTGCTTTTAAATCTTTAAATTCGCATTATACTTAGTATATCTTTACAAAATTGATATATTACATGTTAACATTTTTAATTATAAATTTATTAATAAAAGTGGTCACTTAGACCGAATCTGAAGTCCCATTACAAACTAAATGATTTTTTCATACTTACCATAGAAAGAACTTTTATATTAAATTTCCAGTTAATTATTTTATTTGACCAACATGACCATCTGTAATTTTATTATGATAAATATAAACATGTGATATTTCAACTTTAGAAGGAACTCGAATTTATAAATAAAATTTGATCTTATAGATTTAACATCAATTACCTATCGATTTCTTGGGTGAAAATGATGTTATTTATTAATTTCATTAACACAAACGTATTCTGCTTAAAATTATCTATAATATTGATAATATTGATATATAACATGTTAATATATTTTTTAAAAATTTCCCGATAAATTTGATCACTGAAGCCGACCCCGAGGTCACATGACAATATAAATGACATACTTGTACTCAGAATTGAATGGACTTTATATCTAATCAAAGAATCAGTATTGTCAGCTTGCAAATTCAATGTTGTATTATGACCGTCTTGATTAAATATTTCTTATTAAATTAATGTTTATAAATGAATAAATTAATAAAAATAAATGCAAGTCAAAGCTATTTAAATAGTATTAATAGTTAAATGAATTCATTTATGTGTGATTCTATGTTACTCGTTATATTCAAGGAGAATTCCGCTATTATTTGGCAATGCTAGAGACACCGTCTCATACACCGGCTTGTGGCGATAACAGGTTTACTGTATTTGTTCAATACAGATTTCTCTAGTATTTAAATTATTATAATGTTGTTTGGATATGAATTATTTATTTAAAATCATTAAATGTTTAATACAGTAATATTTCATAAACAAATTATCAAAAATATATTTAATCAAAATGTTTAGAAGCTTTAAACTTTAAATCCTGAAAATTTTAATCAATTTAAATTAATCAATTGACTTTGGCATTGATTGCTTAATTTAATTTGTCAAGGTAGGTGGGTGTATGATTTTCTCGAGACGTTGCACGGTCTCGGTCTCCCACTTTTCCATGTAGTTCATGTGGTCCACGTACACTAGCAAATCGTCCTTGCGCGTGTACTTGGTGATATCAGCACGGTACTGTTCCAAGGTCTCGGGTGCCGACTTAAGGTCCTGAAACTCGCCTGAGCCTGCTGCTTTTGTGTTTTCATAGTGCTTGACATCAGCGGCAATTAATTTCTCCAGGGCATCGATACGATCGATCAATTGCTTTTTGAATGTTTCCAGGGGGTCATCGGCGCATGCTACATTTTAAAAATGATATATTTAAGTAATGTAATTTATATATTGTTTTATTTAATTGTGTGTAAAATAGTTTAGTGTAAAGGTTTATGCTTTATCTAATTGTTTGATAAGCAATTGTTTTTAACCTTGAGACAAATAGACTAGTTTATTATATTAAAGTAATATCCTGTTTGGTAACTGTTAATATTGAATGTAAAAGTGTTTTTTTTGTAAATAATTGTAGTTATTTATAAGAAAATGTTCATCATTATTTTAATTGTATAATTTATACAGTATCAACTATATTGTATTTATTAATTTTTATTAGGCTCTAAATTGTAATAATTAAAAAACATTTGTCTAGTTAATATTTTTATCACGTATTTTCATTTTAATTGTATTTAATTATACTGTATTATAATAATTTCTAAATTGCTAATATCAACGTAAAAATTATATAAAAATAATTTATTTTAAACTTACCTAGCACCACAAATGCAAACACAAAAACTAATGCGTATTTCATTGTAACTGTTGTATTTAACAAACAACTTATTAATAACAATAAAAGTATTAAAAATCTAGAAATTATCAGAAAATAGTATTGAGTTTATATAGATTTTTACAAATTGTCTTATCATTTATTATAAGTGGCTTAAACTGATCATGTTCCTATAATAATGTCATTTCTAAGTATTTATTACAGTCTATCCAAAATATAGTTATAAAAATTTAATTTAAAATTATATATTATTATTTGAAATAGCATATTTTATTAATTACCAAAAAATTATTATAATCTTTAATATTAATTTAGATACGATTTTATTCAATAAATAATAATTTTAATCATCTTAGTACAATATACAATATATAATCATAATTATTGTATTTCTTGAAAAACATTGATAATTAAAAAGGATTAAAATACATAATAAAGATATGTGTTAGAGTGAAATAGCAAAGGTAAAATATCTTATAAAACTATTAATATTATAAAACTATTAGCATTTAAAATACTAATATTAAATATTGTTTTATTGAACAGTATTAATTATAATTTTATACAAATATATTTTTATAATATATTTATTATTAATGATTTATTATTAATGATAATTTCTAAAACATTTATATAAAATTATATTTAGTGACTATAATTTATAGACAGTACAATAATAAACAAGCAGATTTCAAAGGGACGTTATGTTTGAAGGCTCCGATTTTACACTTATTTAATATACTTTAAAAATGCAATGAATGTCACAAAACCCAAAACAAACATAGGATAAGGTTTTGGCAAATTGCTTGAATTATAACCATGGTCCATGCACCAAATTCGTGTGTACATAGTTTCCACCATTTTCCCCTTAAAGTGTAACTTCACGCTGAAATCACCAAAGTGTTGATCAAAGTCATCCCTATCCGATTGACTACAAATGTCCTATGTACATTAAATAAATTATTTATTTATTTAAAATGTAAAACCTGTTTATTTGTGCAATTAATAAACATAATAAATTATATGTATTTTATATTTAATAATAGCTCATTTTAAATATTAAATACATATCTCACATATTCTCGCTTGATACAATCAAGTAGACCATAAAGGGCATCACACATTTGTGAATCGGCATTTGTTTTCATTGTGACTTGGCAAGGTAGTTTATCCAAACACGTATCCTCACTTTCAATTACGCTTAAATTGATTCGATTCATAAGTTGATTACCCTGGTCAAACTGGTTATATGATCCAGATAGAACCGCGTACGTGGCAGACAATATAATGATAAGTTTATGCACACAGGTCATTTTTAGTTAAATAAAGAAAACTTTAAAATATAAATTATGTTCATTTACTAATCACTTTTAAGTGAGCGACATTTAATATAATAGTTAATATTCAGCTATTATATAGTTAACAATTTTTAAAAACAAATTTGGTCATGATATATGACTCATATACAAGAATGTATATATATATTTCCCGGATATATTGATAATATATTATTATTAATATATGTCATAAATCGATATAATTTTATATCAATTGTTATTAGACTTAACGGGGAGAAAAAACTTTTGTAAAATTATATGAAAATCATTGTATTTGTAATTATGAAGTAAAATGATTTATTGTATTGTTTATATTAAATTTTATTTAACAACGTGCATGATTATAATGAACATTTGATTGATTTGAATAGGATGACACTCTTTAGATTATAATCATTAAAATAATTAAGTATAATAAATTATTATTTTTATAAACTTTTGCAATTTATGTCTTTTAGAGTACAATACCATACTAAGACATATACACCGGTGGAAATAACAACTTTTTTCCGATGAAAATTAATTTCTCCAAAATGGATAATCCAATCCTAATCCTCTCTTCACTGTTTTATAGCCCATACTTCCCGGTTTGTAAAAATAATTTTTATTTGACAGAAATCTACCATGGTGACTGCGCAATTTAAGTTTGCAAAAAAGAGGTTTTTGCATTGAAAATACATTGGTTTTTGTCATAGGAAAAGCATAGTAACAAAATAGGTGTTTGTTAACTCCATTTATTCCTAAACTAACCAAGATAAAATTAATCCATTTAAAGCGAATTTGTACAATATGATTCTGATTATTCTCCCGACGACATTATGTCTCTACACTATGTTTAAAGGAATAAATAGTCATTGTTTGTACAGCAAAAACTATACTAGATAAAATTAATCTGATAACTGGATTTGAAAGAGAATTCAAAATGAGCGAGTACCTATTTTAGGAATTTTTTATTAACATTAAATTTAAATTTTTAATTAAAGAATTTAATGGTTAAAATAAAATTTTACATAAATTTCAACATTTATAATTGTAATCAATAAGAAATTTATTATTAAGAAAAAATTCCTGAAATAGGTACTCGCTAATTTTGAATTCTCTTTCAAATCCAGTTATCAGATTAATTTTATCTTGTATAGTTTTTGCTGTACAAACAATGACTATTGATTCCTTTAAACATAGTGTAGAGACATAATGTCTTCGGGAGAATAATCAGAATCATATTGTACAAATTCCCTTTAAATGAATTAATTTTATCATTGCTAGTTTAGGAATAAATGGAGTTCACAAACACCTATTTTGTTACTATGCTTTTCCTATGACAAAAACCAATGTATTTTCAATGCAAAAACCTCTTTTTTGCAAACTTAAATTGCGCAGTTACCATGGTAGATTTCTGTCAAATAAAAATTATTTTTACAAACCGGGAAGTATGGGCTATAAAACAGTGAAGAGAGGATTGGGATTGGATTATCCGTTTTGGAGCAATTAATTTTCACCGGAAAAAAGTTGTTATTTCGACCGGTGTATAATAATAAATACAAATAAATTGATAAAAACTAATCTCAAGTAATTTTCCAGATATAGTCTCGTCGCCAAACTAGTTGTAAAAACTGTTAACTTATGAATAGTTTATAAAAACTCTTAAAAATTAGAAAATATAATGAATTATTTGATTGACAGCTGAACCCAAGCCATAGCATCCCGACCATAGTTGACGAGGGGTTTGTGTTATGGGAGAGTCGGGCTATAATGCAATACCTGTGCAACAAATACGATGTCTCCGGCACTCTATACCCGCGGGAACCTAAAAAGAGGGCAATAGTGGACCGTTGGCTCAACTTTGACATCACACTCATGGGGTCCTATAAATATGGAGTGGTATGTCATTTACGGTTAAAGTCTTTCATTTTGCCAAATGGTCTGCTCTTTAAAACAGATGATGAAAGCGTTCGGTGGTGCGGATCCGCCCGAAGACAAGATCATTGCAATGAAGAATAATCTGAAATTATTTGACCAATTGATCGGTGATAACAAGTATCTGACGGGCGATGACCTTACGATCGCAGACCTGGCGCTGTTGGTGACCAACTCGGCTCTATTGCTCGCTAATGTAGATTTGTCTGAATACCCAAATGTCAAACGATGGCTAACCTCCCTGACCACTGGTTTACCATATTTTACTGAATTCAATGTCTTTGATCCGAAAGAGATGGAGGTATGGGTGGCCAAAAGTCAGGCGTATTTGAAAAGACAATTTAATTGACAATAATTACCCGTTTAATCATTTATGATATTTTGATATTTGTATCACTTTATAAAATGATAAACATTCAATTAATAAACATTTATTCAAAATAAATTTGTATTGATTATGCTTTATATAAATATTTATGAAGTTTTTTACTCTTATTTTACAAATTCATTGCTTTTTGAGTGCAGAGGAGAGATTAATTCATGAAATTATAACTTATATCATAAATAGAGAAAAAATAGTCAATAGTTATTATTTATAGAATCATACAGTTATGGGTAAAAGGGAATAATCTTTGGAAATGACAATAATATACTATTACTATAACTAATAGGACTTCTAGTCTATTGTAGTCTTCTGGTGGCGAACAAGAGTTTTGATTGAATGAGTGAACTGAAGGGGAAAATTGTTTATCAAGTGAACAGTTATTGATTTGATCGCATAATAAACTTCTGGAGTTATATTGTGTTGTCGTCTCTGAGTTTGTGCTGAACGGCGAGTGTGTGTCCACACAGTCGACCAGAATTCGAGTCACTATTGCCAACACAATACATGAAACATTTAATTGCGTTAATAATGTGTCAACACTTTTGTTTTAATTAAACTTATTTTTCTGTTTCGCAAACCTTTTCCTTAACACTAAACCAATCATTTCTCTCAAACATTTTCCTCTCATTATTTTCACGCATCTCTCTCTCTCTCTCTCTCTCTCTCTCTCTCACTCACTCACTCACTCACTCTCACTCACTCACACACACACACACAAGTCTGCAAAATCTCAAAAACCCTATTTCTCGACTCAATTCATCTGAAAGTTCTGCAATTATTACTTGAATCTCTTGAATAACTGGAATTGTCTGGACATAAGTCTGTATTGAATGAAAAATATTTAATTTAAAACAGATTTAAAGACTCAAAGGATTTTACCCATATAAAGTTAAATTATTTTATTTTTATTTACAAATATAGAATTTAGTATTTGTCTTAAAAGTTTAGAAAATCTATTCATTGTTTAATAAAAGTAAACATTTTTAAATTAGCAATCTTTCATAAAGTTTAGTTTAGTTTAGAGTTTCAATATTTTAGAATTTAATTTTCATATATTTCTACAAAAGTTTTATTATAAACGTCTGGAAAGGCTGTTATAGTTTTGTTGAAATATAATATGAAAATGAGTTTAAAAGCAAAATAAAAAAAGTAATTTAAATTGTTTCGACTATTGAAATATTGACTTAAATTTTCATTAAATATCAGATTTCAATTCATAGCTCAGAGCATTAAACATCATTCAAATGTAGACAAAAAATTTATATTTAGTTTTACTCTGCACAATTTATTCATTGAAATGTTTTTTGAAAAAATCCTCATATTATTGAAAACTCGAAGCAAATATTGATAATACAATCGATTGGATGAGAGAAACAGGAGAGAGAGAGAGAGAGAGAGAGAGAGAGAGAAATAAGAGGGGAATAAAAGCCCAAACTTTTGCTTTCTATTCATTGAAGTGTTGATTGAAGTGAAATGTATAGCAATTTTCAAATACTTTGTATGCAAAATACGGTACAAAAATAGTAAAGTGAATATTGTATTGCATCTCATTTTTTGACATTCAATTCCTGTCCTACAATTCAATGCTTTAAAACACATATTGATTGACATCTTCTTTATATATACACAGAATAGGAAATATATCTCACAATTATTTGCAATCATATCCACTCAAGTCTGCATTTTATCTCCGATGACAACAAAAATATTCAAATTTTCCAAATCTCACAGAAAATCCATACAGTATTTGTTTCCTATTTGTTTTCTGATCTATAAGAAATTATTTATAATAATATTACAACACTATAAATAAAACCCAATCTCTCTCTCTCTCTCTCTCTCTCTCTCTCTCTCTACCCACTCTCATCCTCTTATAATTAATTGAATGACAAATTCTGTGAATCGTATTGTAATTCAAAATGAATTTCCTATGAAGTGTATCGATATATAGACTTTGAATTGCTTTCAATAGCAAAGAGTTGGTACGAAATGGTGTTAAAGAGCGGTTGAGAAGAGAGATGTCAATAAAATCTGCATCACTTTCTCTATGCTATTCATGCAGTGATTGGTTTCCATTATAATTGACTCAAATTGAATGGAAATCTATGGATGTATACTGTATTCTGTATAAGTTTAGCTGATTTTGTTGTCAGTATTACTTAACATATAAATTGACAGATTTTAGCTATTTTGCAAATCTGGGTTTCACTCCATAAAATCAGTTGTAAATCAATACATAGAAAGTATACATACATACAATACATATATAGAAAATCAAATACTGAAAAAGCTACAATGTTTTGAATCTGAAAATTTTATTGTGTCGTAAATATAAGACTCATACAAATTGTGAAATTTCAGTAATAAGTTTACATTAATAGAGTTTGAAAATAAACAAATGAATTAAAAAATTATTTGTTTTGTTTGGATGTAAACCATCCTATATCCCTTTCCTCTTTGGAAAATTCGTTGATTTCGGCGAAATATGGCAATTCTCTGAGCGTTGAATACCAGCGCTCTATATTAGGATAACCACTGAACGAGAAGTCAAACCAATGATAGTTTGCGATTATAGCCCCCAATGAAAAGTCAGCAATTGTTAAGTGATTTCCGATCAGATATTTGCTGCGACCGATCAAAGCGTCCAAAACTTTCAAATTGTTGTGAAAAGCGGTCACTTTATCTTCGGGCGGATCCACTCCACTGAAGTATTTGGCCGCCTATTGTCATCATAAATATGAATATATTTAACGATTACAATGTCATTAAACTATATGTTTACCAAAACTTCTCTAAAGGCAGTCATGATTGTGTTGTCGAAGTTAAGGGAGCGGTCGACCAGAGCTCGTGTTTTAGGATCTGTAGGGTATAGACTACTTTCCGGTGAGTATTGGTTGCACAGGTAGGCCAAAATGGCTCGGCTTTCCCATAGATTAAATCCATTATCACTGATTGCGGGCACTGTATGAGCCGGGTTTATCTATAATTAATTTTTAAAAATAAATCACTATTGATCAGGGTATTTATATGGCATACCTTTAAGAATTCAGGTGTCATGTGTTCATTTGCCGGTAAATCCAAGTATTTGATGTTAATTGCGATATTCACTGACGCCTGTAGTTGCCGGACAGTCATGAGGGCAGCCCGGGATGGGGTACTGAACTTGTTTACGTATAAATCAATTCCCATTTTATTTTTAACTTCCAAAATACAGTACTGTATCTAAATATGAGGTTTTAAAAGTCACAACTCTAATGAATACTAAACCAACTATTTATATACAATCAGACATATAATACAAGCGATATGATAATTTTGAAATATTGTCTCAATACTATAGACTCTATACAAATGATTGTAGTCAGCCTTGTACATTGCCATAGAATTGATATTTTACAATATGAGTGTTTAGTTATCACAATTTCCACTAAATATTAAGAATAATGAATTTTCTTGTCATGAAATGCAATTCATTTATAATAAATTAACAATGCGTTAACGGGAAGTGATATTCAGTTAATTAAATAAAATAAACTGGATTATACTCGTATGGTATGGTATATTAAGATTGTCTAGGTCCGGTAATCTAGCGGGATGTCTTAGATGTCCAAATCGGTGATTATATTAGGGGCGCGCTATAAAAACTCTATACATTTTTGCTATAAAAACCTATTCAACTACTCATACTATACGAGTCAGAGTTACAAT